CGCCTTCCTCAGAGCCTGGACGTATTTTATATAAGAATATTTTAATTATTCGGTAGAAAAAAGGCGAAAGTATTAATGGGGATCAAACTTTTAAATAGACGTCATACTGAACAGAAAGCCTTCTCACCGCGATGTTACGAGCGCGACTGGCCCACGCGTTGTTCACGTGGGCTCGCGAGCGAGACACACCCTGAGGTCAAAATATCATTTTGAAATAGGGCGGCAGGTCACGTGTGATAGTGAGGCATTCGTCTTTCCGGTTTTGGATAAATTTCAAAAATCCAAAGATGAACCGGAAGGACGAATGCCTCACTATCACGCGTGACCTGGCGCCCTATTTCAAAATGATATTTTGACCCCAGGGCGTGTCTTGCTCGCGACCTCACGTGAACTACCTGTGGGCCAGTCCCGCACGTAACATCACGGTGAGTGGCCTTTCTGTTCAATATGGCGTCCATTTGAAAGTTTGATCTTCATTATCACTTTAACCTTTTTTTTTCCACCGAACAATAAAAATATTCTAATATAAAATATGTCCAGGCTCTGAGGAAGGCGAAGTCGCCGAAACGTCAGCCATCGATCGATAACGTCAAAAACAACGACAACGACAACGAAGATCTGTACCAACCTCGCGTCAGCTTAAGAAGATCAGTTTATTTGATCGGTTAGTTTGTCGGACTAACGGCTCTGTATTCATCTCAGTGCACTATTAAGAACTACTTCGTACACTCCCTTTTACATTCTTACTATTTACACGTGCTGCCTACTTTCTTCATTCTCTTCCATTCTTCCCTCTTAATAGTTAGGCGCCTCACCGTGGGGGGGGAGGGGTGTACCTGGGTGTTGGGCTGCGGTGTACAACGAAAGGATTCATCAACCCAGCAGAACTGAGAAGGAGTCCGGAGTTTCCATCAAGAGGCCCAGCTATGAGCAAGCTACTACCAGGATCCACCACCGTCCTGGTATCAAACTAGTCGAATGGTGGCAAATCTCGCTCTGATCCACTAGAGTGGGCAACTGCCTGTGCCGGTGACGACCTGAAGCAAACTTCGGGCGGACTGATCTCGGGGCACCAGGGAGGGAACCACAATGGCTAGACCAGCAAAACTCCGAAAAAGTGGAAATTATATTTTGGAGCGCACAATCAGTGAAGACGGGACATCCAGGTATCCAAGTAACCAAATATTCTATCTTTTTATACATGTTTCATAATTTGAGAATAACTATGATTTAGGAATTGTTAAATACCAGAATATTTTGTTGTTACAGTGTAGCACATGATTTTATATGAGTTAATAAGTATTGTAACCGTGGTTTTTAATTTGATTTCCCAGCATTCTGAGTTAGGCGTCAAAATTTTCCCGAAATCAAACGCTCAGAAGCTTCGGCTTAACTAGGGCTGATGGCGATTTCTGCTCCCTGGATGATTCCTGTTGACCAGTGATTGCCGGTTGCATGGATAGAATTAACAAGAGGAAAGGCCAAGCAAGGGTCTTGGTTGGTGCAGTGATAGCACGTGAGACTCCGCTAAGCGTAATCGTCAGTTCGAAACCTATCCGCGGTTCTGAGTTTTGACCATATTTAAGCGTTCTTATAACAGAAGTTTTAAACAAATGTTCTTGCTTAACATCTACACCCCCAATATGTTCGATTCCCAATTTTTCGGTACGAGCAACACGAATTGACCTCAATTAGTACCGCTCACGGGCCCACTTCCTCCACCAAATAACCGCGCCCTTTTTGCGAAAATAATTTCCGCTTTGCCTAACTCTGAATACTTCAGTACCCTCCATGGGACTAACGTTGCTGTGGCATGACGAACAAACTCGTACGATGAGTAGTGCTTTTGTAATTCATAACATAGGAAATGAGGGGTTAGCGGAGTGGTTAGTGAGGCATTCCATTGGGAAGCAAGCTGATGTTTCGACTGCCTAACCAACATTCTCTTCCAAACCAAGCGTAGAAACATTAGTTAGGTTATCTTCAAAGTTGCAATGAGAACCGACTCTACCAGCATTCTGCGGCATTCATGAAGAAAATGAGATCTTTAAACAGCATACATTTACTTCCATAAAAACACAATACAATACAACGCTAGCTGGCGTTTCGGCAGTATCGCCTTCAGTGCACTACCAGGGAACTAAAGGAAGAATCGCGCGACATGGCTCGGCAAATAGCCACCTCCAATGGCTACGAAACAGTAACCCCACGAGATAAGTTTACAAGGAGAACGACGCGCCCACGCGAAACACTTGGCCAAAACAAAATCCCGTTTATGTTGCCTTTTATAAGCGATGAAGTAAGCGCAGCTATAAAACGATGCTTAAGAAGGGCAGATCTAGAGGAATCGGTAGCGGTAGTCGAAATACCACTGGCTACTCTACGCCGTCAATTAGTTCGTAATCACCTGTATGACCGTCTGTGTGAAACAACAAATTGCGTAATTTGCCCTTACGGCAGGGACGGTGATTGCATGAGTTCAGGTACGATCTACCTGGCCTCTTGTAACAATTGCGGAGATGAATATATTGGCGAAACGAGCAGACCTTTGTGTATCCGTATAAAAGAACACCTAGATGGCAAACGAAAACTAAGACGAAGCACCCCACTAGGCACGCATAGGATACAAAAGCATAGCGGAGAAGATTTTGAAGTAAAAGTCAATATCCTTGCACAGGAGTCCAAAACACCAGCGCGAAAACTCCTAGAGGCTTTTTGGATCAATGCCAAAAACCCTACAATGAATAGCAGGGACGAATGCCCGGAGGTCATACGCGACCTGATCCCGTACGTTCGCATCGATTTTTGATGTGGGATGGTGCAGTCGTCAACCACATGCGACTATAATCAGCTGTTCTAAACTTCCTCATTGGAAGTCACAAAAAAACGGTGGGTTTTTCGAGAAGTTGTTGATCGTGTAATTACCAAAGAGTCTTTCGTCTTTTTGTAAGTGTTATTGAAGCGTTTGGCCTAGTAGATTGTATATCAGTATACCCTTCCAGGCTCTGAAGAAGGCGATACCGCCGAAACGTCAGCTAGTGTTGTATTGTATTGTGTTTTTATGGAAGTAAATGTATGCTGTTTAACAACCTCGCGATTGCTGAACAAGAAAACGACACATTCATATTCCAATGCCGAGGTTAAGAGAAAGTCGATCCTGGAAAATGAGATCCTCAAGCAGCAACTGCAACAGTACGCTAAGTGTCCAGAGACCTTTATCGACGATGAGTGCGAGGAAAAGGAATTGAAGGTAAGAAGTGCAGGGATCCGTACAGTAGATGTGATAATGAGTCATATAAATAAACAATGCAATGTAGGAAAGAGCTTTTCTGAAACATATTCATCACAATATCTGTGTAGGATCTACAGATCGAATACAAACAATGTAGCAAGAAAGACCTACATAGCAGAAATCTAGGCTGTGAATGGACGTAATTTTCGTCCATGCCAACTTGTCTATTCACAGTGATCACGACTTTTGGACCAGAAAACGATACTCATGAATGTCATTTGTTCAGTCAACATAGTCGTCATGACAGTGGCCAGATCTAAACGACACTTATGGAAGTTGTTCTTATATCGGCAAGACTCAGAAGACATCACTTAGTTATTCATATGGGTATTTATTTTGACTCTTCGTAAACAGGTAATGTTGTTAACAGACTAAGCCTTTCGTGATATATTCAAGACACAACATTTTCCCACTCATGATGTTGTGCTGCTTATTTGTAGGTCTCAGTTTAAGAATAAGTTTAAGCTTAGGCTCTGAGATTTCAATAGAGTTATGGAAAGACTTAATTAAAAGCGTACATAGGTACTTTCTATTCGACCAAAGGAGCGATCCACTTCTTGAGCTTCTCAAGTTGTTTAGAGATTTGTCATAGTCAGTGAAAGTTAGGATTACGAAAAAATGGTATCATCGATGAAGAGATTCCAGAACACAGTCAATAAGCATTTGGAATGTCAGTCTTGATTTTTCTGAAGGCGAACCAGAAGCAGGGTTATTCTAATTGATTGAATCCAAGTACATCATTTATATACGGAATATGTCGGCTATTAGTTCCAAAAGCATAGGGTAAAATGTTACCCGTTTCTAGTGCCTCAATTTTCATACTATTTATTGCCATAGATAGTTTTATCGGTCAAATTTTCGTAACCTCAAAACATCCTTGGTATAAAAGGTGAGAGAATGGCGTGTTTAATCAGATCAGACTTCATTCCTTGCACTTCTTTGCCGTTATGAGCAATGAGGTACTAATATGATACCTTGATACTAAGCCGGTTTGTTTCTGCCTTCAATCTTAACACTATTACTCTAACTATAGGCAACAGTGATGAGTCAATTTTCAAATTCTCTCCTCGGCTATGCTGGTACGAGGATCGGGAATCACGGTCTTTTTCTTAGGGAACGGTGATTGATTCAAGCTAAGCGAACTATGTGGTAATTAAACTGCTTGGCGAAGACTGATTCGGTTCAGTATACGAGTTCTTACATTGGTGGAAACGGTTACTCAAAGGTATTTAGTAAGCTAAGAGTAGATAGAATATGAATTCCTCTTTAAACCGTGTAGGTTTGAATATGTCATGATGTATTGCGAAATCAGCGTCAGTGAAATAAAATGCTTTGTTTTTGCCGTTCCACGGGAGTAGTGACGAAGCGTAGTTTGATGAGCACTTCCGTAAAGGAAAGCGTACTCAACAATAGCATCGCAAGGCTTTCCGTGAAGCTTAAATGTTGATGTGGATTCCGAACCATCACCTCCCATTTAGTTCTCTGGCACTCGATTAGATCGTTTTGTTAAATTACTTTGTTTTAATGAACGGTCTTGTTGACTGAATGACTTAAATGGGTGGTAAACTTCAAAATTGACTATGCACATGACTATTTGCAATTAGACTTCCTTGGCAAGAAAAACTGACGGTGACAACATGACGTCATTAGAAAATCTACGGAGACGACCGAATATTACAACTATGGTACAGTGCTCATATATTTTCAGAGTTCGAGATCAAAAGGACCTGACAAAACTCTATGCAGTGAAAGTGGAGAAGAAAATTGAAAGTAGGAAACACTCCAAACTTAAAATGGAGGTGAGCAAAATTGTGGATTCAAGCTCGTCAGTTTCAAATCATATCAGATGGGGGCAGTCGAGAGGACGGCAATATACTATACCTGCATCACTTGTGAACCCCGTTACTCATCGAGTAATTCGAACTTAAACGAATTGTCATTCTTCCCTGATGGATGGATGCCACCCTTGTCAAACGGTTCCTGCTCGGTCGATAAATGCAAAAAGAACACTTTTTACACGAGTTTTTGTACTTTTACTCTTTCTGACGACGAAGTGAACACGGAGGTTCGCCGGGTTCGGCAGTGAGCAACTGAATGTGCAAATGGACAGCTTGCTGTTCTCCTTAACTAAATGTAGGGACTCTAGAATCAATCTTGAATCGCCTTTCTAGTCCTTTCCAGTCATATAACTGCAAATATTTGGATGGATCGATATGAATCTATCGCAATAAAAACGCTATATTTAGATCGCCATCTTGAAACCTATATCACAAGAAAGGAAGAAGTCACATTTCACAACAATAGTCGATCGAGGGAAAAAGGAAAACTACCTTTTTCTTGTCATGGAGCTGGTCGGAAAGAGTTTGGTGGACCTAAAAAGTTACCGACCGGGACGGGTTTGCTACAAAGCATTTCTCATTCAAAACGTGGTGAAGCTATGGCCATAAGTACAGCATTTCCTTGGCGTGAAGCATCAGCAAATTCATTCTTACTACGTATTCAGGTTTTTTCCATATCAACGGGATTAGGTGCTTCAATTCAGCATTTGGAGGCTTGCGAAGATCTACATAAGTATGGCTTTATCTATCGGGATTTTAAACCGGCAAATTATGCTTCTGGCCTAAAAGAGAAGGAACGAATAGTATGTGATTTACTCTACTTCTAGTATGTAGATGATCTTAAAGCAACAGTGCTACTCACGTATGACTAGTTAGCGCTTTCTTAGCCATCGATCATGTTGATGTAGTCATGACACATTGCAAAGCACCTCCGACCGCTTCGCTATATGCGCTCTCTTCAGTTTGAGAAAGCACAAAAGAAGCGTACCTTTTCTTTCAGATGTACATACTAGACTTTGGTATAGCACGACGTATTCTGAACGGTTAGAGTGAATTAAAAACTTCTCGAATGACAGTAATGTTCAAGGTGCCACTTTTTGCACAGTAAATTGAAGGTCCCTCGTCTAAAGTTCCGTTTCTCATTAGTTCATTATTTTTGCTACTTTTAGTGCACAACACCTTTTGCATCTATTTCATGTCATAAAAATGTCGAAATGGGAGCGAAGGACGATTTCCAATCCTGGTTCTACTTATTGATAGACATAACATTTCCGAACGGTGAGCTATGATGAATGTGATGTAGATGTGGTGTAATTTCGACCTACTGCAACACACGTGTTTCATCATATGGGATACTTGTCTTCGCTGCTTCGAACTTATGCCGTCCCTGTAGTGAATAAAAAGCAAATGTGGAGTGGTACGATAGCCCTCTAACGTAAAAATGCCCTACGACTACTTTGAGAGATGCCGACGATTTACCCAACGTTACACCCACATCACCGATAGTCTACAGAGGTACTCGTGGTTATCCTGTCTTCAAAACCAGTATAACAATGATGACATATGAAGATATGATAAAGCACTTTATAGGGGAGATATCATCAAGCGAATAGGGAAAACTACCGGTCCTGATGCACGATAGAGGTGAATAGAAGGCTAACTGATGCCAGTTTAAAAGGGATAAAAGGATAAAGCTCTGGACGTTGATCAATCACTGAGAGATGCGCCATGCACTCGAATTCATTAAGCATCATTTGGAGGTGATTGAATGCACATATGGCCTTCACAATGATTCGCGATGGTCTACCAATGTATCGAGCTAGTGTTCCTGTCTTCGCAGACAAGTCTGGTACCAATTTGCTGACCGCAGAAGGATGGAGCGCTTGGTGGACCACGGGTGTGAGGATCGATTCTTCTTGTCTTGTAAGGCGTCTCCCACCACTTCGCCACATGCGCCCTTATGCCAGTTTAAACGACTCGATTATCAGTAAGGTTACAGTATTTACAATGCGTACTGGCAGATGAAATCTTACGTAAATTGACTAGCCATCACGAAGTTTGTCATCTGTAGTGAGTAAGTGCGGACTCGCGGACTCATGAGTACAGGTTGCTGCTGGTAATTGGCTTCAAGCGGGATTTCAGTGAAGTGAAGTTTTAAATAGCAATAAAAACAAAAAGACACAACTCAGTTCATGAAGGATAAGCCGTGAATTCGACTTTATCACTCCCCATTAGAGGTGATTAAATGAGCGTCCGGTCTATACAGCCGTGGGTTATCTACGCATTAAATTAGTGATGCTATCCTGCCAGACGGATCTGGCCCAATTTACCGAACTCGAACAGACAAAGTGCTTGGTGAGCCCGGGGCGCGGAATCGAACCAAAGAGCTCGTATGTAGTGCAGAACACCACCATTCGCTGTGCTACACGTGCCGCTTAAGTAGGAACACAATGATTTCAATTATGTTCTACTGGTGGTCTTCTCAGGATTATTATGGAAAGCGCTAAGTGAAAAAGACGGAGCTCTACGTATGAAAGAAGAAATTCGAAAAGAAAAACGCGTTTGTTCTCATTAAAGTTCTTTCTTTAATTTAAACAATGTTTCTAAGATTTTGGGGTGCCAGTTTTCAACTATGAATTGCAAGAAAGGGCTCCTTGAGATATTGGATTACATCGATAGTTTGTGGTATCAAGACCATGTCGACTATTCTTTCATAAATAAATTATTAGAAGAGGTGAGCAACGATCACTGCCACAAAGTTTTCTTCTCAAAATATCCTAAAATCTAAGAAAATTTGCTGGAAGGGATGGAGCAGGTGCTTACATGTGTGCTGCAATGCACATCAAATCACTGATTCGATCAGAAGTACATGCTAACATTCTCTAACTTCTTATCAATCGCGAATCGGTAGATTGGTATTAGATGTGTCGGGGAGGGTAGAACCACTGACTCGATGGTCGGTAGATTCCCAAAAGGCAATTCGTACATGCAGTCATCTTTGATCCGTAATGAAGTCGAATAAGTGCCGCCGTACTCTTAAAGGAACGATCAACGCCAAACATTTTATCACTTCATTAACTTTTTATTTTCTGCCTACTACAATTTTTCACTGTAAGGTATTATATGAAATACAACCATAACGAATATTCCTGGTGAGATATTTGCAAGACTCCGCACTGCAGGTGTCTGCAGTGGGAGTAGAACACGCTATTACCCTTTCCAGGGTCTAACGCATTCTCCACCACACTATGCGGGTACTTGATCACTTCATCATTTTAGATAAGAGGCTAAACCAGTATTCATCAATTCAAATCAATCGCAAGCTCTTCACGTCAATTGAGCTTTATTTTGGTGATCTCGTTTATTTTGCGTCTTAGGGTAAAATCTCGTACCGAAATCTTTTCTATTCCGGCTTGACTAAATTGAAATGTTTTCATTACTTTTTTGGCTTTCTTTTCTACATAGGCGTTTTTATATCTAGTTTGGTAGTCTGCCCATTTATCTAGCTGGATCCATATTTATTTTAGAGCACTGTAACTGCTGAAGGCAATATCCACAACCCATACGATTGGGAAGTGGATGGGACGCAAAAGCCACCAAAGCCGGTGAACAGCAAAAGAAGTACAGTAAAAAAGACGAGATTTTTCGCTTACCTGCCTAGGTTTTAAGGACAGTCATGATAATATCACTTCTACGCAGCAATTACTTCCTTGTTTCTGTATCGATTTCATGGAGAAAATGCTGAATATCATAATAAAGAATAAGATAAAAGATAGCGTTAATCACGGGATACACTAGCCTGATGTAAAGTAGTTATTCTTTCATAATATTTGGTGAGATAATAGACCTGGGTCTAAGTTCACATAATCTGATTTACTGATGTTAAGAGTAAATATCGAGCCGACCAAGTTCTCTATTCCTCTATAAAATTCCGGTTGACTTGCCTGGGAAGAGCTCCCTCAGAACCATTTAGATTAGTAGCTCTCTATTGTGAAGACCTCATAGCCGTCTATCACAGTTGTTCTAAAAAATTCGAAGAGATCAACTCGACCAGCATTCAACGATATTTTTAAAGAAGATAGCGAAGAGGGAAAATCAGCGCAGAAAACTTAACGCGATATAAGGATTATATCTTATTGAGATCTTCTGTGGTGTAGGTCACGGTCACACATGGCTACAAGCCACCCACCCACTCGGTACACCATAGGGAATTCTCTGGATGCCATGCGAATGAAGCCCTGGTTAAGTGTCCTTTCCACTAAGGTCATCAGAAAACTTGGCTGAGCTGAATGCCTTTAAATATTATCCATTCTGAGCACTGAATAAGCCAAAATCCGCCAAAATATTAGCCATAGTGAAATAAATATTGAATTAATAATATCGTGTCTTGTTATCAAGGGCACACAATCCTAATGAGGTTGTGTTTAAATATGAATGCACAACCTAAATCCAGATTTAGTCTAACACAAATGCGAATCATGTCAGACGATTCGAGTAGCTCATGAAATCTAGGTGACATATTCACTGGCTGGGAAATCGACAATACTTCCTGGGAGACGAAACCCTCATTTCAGTAACCTCGGGTGACCTTGCAAAACACCAGAATTCAAAATGATAAGAACGAAACGGCAAGACAAGGAAGTAACGATGCAAGTGAATGAATGAAGGTGATTTGAGCACGTTGAATCAACCGTGACTAGAGGACGTCGTCCGCGTGATGTCGTATTAGAAGCAACAAAACGTTTCCTTGGAGTCTGCGTCAGTAACGATGTTGAAACCCTCGTCAAACAAAACACCACGATAAACCTTTTCGAAGACCGATTTACACTTAACCTCAGAAAGTCTCGTATTCATGAACTTATATGGGATAGTTATAAAACTTTCTTGCGGCTAACGTTTCTGCACTTCGCGGTCTTGAGAAGTGCAATTATACCAGTCGATTGTTCACAGCCATCTTTTCTTCCGGTTTGGGTCTTCATGATCGCATTGAGTAGAATTCTGCGGAGCACCGTTCGGTTCAATAGGTCTAGTTTTTCTCAAATTGTTGAAAACTTCCGGATACCTGGGAGATTTGACATGTTGAAAACGTAACCAGCTTACAAATGAGGGTTTTTTCTATCTACTTAAGGTGAGAAATGATTCTTTGAAGCTGTTATTCGATTACGAAAGTTGTTGACAGCTTAAAAAATTCAGAAGAAATTTATAGGACATTATTTTTAAAATTTCGAGTGAAATCATGGAAATTCGAGACGCCAACAAGGCATTTCAGGGCATCATCATGCTCGATGAGATAGCGCTTGTTCAATCACTTTCATATTCCAAGTACGAATCTCGACAGACGAAAGTGCACAAAAAACATGTTTGCAGGGCTCCAGAAAATCAAATTTTAATCATCGTAAAATAAGTTCTCCTTTTTTGGTGGGCTAAGAGTTGTTGATTTTAACATCCCTCACTGCAAATAACAAAATTCAGCACAAAGTAATATGTATTGGTTAACATTTCATGTCGTGTGAGTGGTAATCAGCTCATGTCGGCCCTTACGTGTTAGTCGCAGAGTTCGGTGCCCTCAAGAAACCAAGATGACAGAGCATTACTTCCAAGAATTTTAGTATTGAGTACCAAGACGGCCTGTGTTCACCAATAATTGCACGACCCTCATTACCACTTTATAAGTAGTAAGACAAGATTACTTTCCTGGTGAGGCCTTTCCGCGATGAGATAAGATACCGTGATTTGCAGACAGCACAATCGCCTACTTTTGTGGATGAGAAGATTTGCCATCTTACAACTAAGTTCTTTATCAATACAATGGTGACAGTTGAAATGTGTCCACTCCAAAGTCGAGTTTCGAATTATAAGTTGGAAATCGTCGCTATCCTGAAAGATCACTCTTGGCAGTTAACTCCCGCTACACTGAATTCGATACCAGAGACGGCAAAGATGAAGTGGTATCCTATTGCAGAGAACATGAAGAAATCTGCAAAGAATGTAATATGAGTGGTAATGCTTCTTGGCACAAGGACATGAGAGGCACGTACTCACAAAATGAGATCTCACATTAGAATTCGTCGAACTGCTAATTGCTACAAGGATGCGAAGGGTAGTATCCGCAGTATCAACAGCCGTTGACAGGTGAGAACTGTGAAACTTGGCTTTGTAAGAAATGTGCTGAACATCAGGTGAAGTAATTTTTTCCCAATGGAAAGCGCCAGGACAGAAATCCCCCAACGAGAATAGCCTTGCAAATACTGCGTGAATGCTGTCAGTAGCAAGGATATATCACACTTTCTCTCACAAGGAAGGTCTGAGAACCACTCTAAATTCAATTGATTGCTAAGTACAGAGGTTCTTCAAACTCCTTTTAAATATAAACCTTTTTATGAACTAACGCAGTACACGGATACTAAACAAAGGGCGCGTGTGGCGCAGTGGTCCGAGGCGTCCTGGAACGAACACGTGGAATCGATCTCCGCGCCCATAGCCCACCAAGCCTTCCGTCTCTCCGGGGTCGGCAGACTAGTACCGGATCTGGCTGGGATGATACCAACATAGGCTCGATACATCATAGGTAGGCCACCGCGAGTCATTGTAGAGGCCAGATATGCATTCAATCACCTCCAACGATGCTTGATGAAGTCGAATGCATGACGCACCCCTCAAGGATTGATCAACGCCGAGAGCTTCATCCTTCATCCTTTAACGCAGCGCATACAGTACACCAAATGGAAAAGGAAAAAAATCGGAAGTAGTCACCACATAGCTTAAAGCTGCTTCACATAAAGTATGCAGAAATTTGTTATACTTCTAAGAAAAGCGACATTAGTGAAAAAAAATAAATGAGCAACACCAGAAGAAGTCTCTAAAGAAAGATTTTTAAAAAAGTTAGCATGGACAAATTACCATAGACGTTAAGTGAATATAAGGTACGGAAATCCTGCAACTGGGTCGTATTTGCGCACAGCACATGAGCTCACGCCATAGTTGGTGACATCAACACGTTTAAATTTACACAATCAGCAATTTGAACGCACTGTCACCGTGAGTCGTTCGAATATAAGCATCTTACTAGACAATCATACTGAGTATGGGTAATAAGCGAAACCGTGCCAAGTGTAGTTCTATAGAGATGAATCTTAAGGATTGTTTTATTCGGATCAGATTCCGAGTTGTTTCCGGATCAGCGCAGTCACCACACGAAATGGTCGTTCTTCGTATTCCAAATATACGTTGTGCTCAATTTTCACTTGATCACCTTTCATCCGATTTAACAACGCCACACATACGATCGCTGCTAAAATCAAAAACCAGTTAGTTAAAAGAAAAAAGGTTTTATTGGAACAAATAGCTAAAAATGATGGGATGCATTTTGATGGCCTTATCGGTGTCGCTCTTTCTTCTCCTTGTTCATCCCTGTCTGCAACTAGTCTCCCGTCTAAGTCAAATATGTACCTGGTAGAAGGATGAGTACTACAGTAATTTTATGGGTTGACAGAGTGGCGTTTGAGGATACTGCTTACTTTAGACATCATTAAGTGTATCATGCACTTGCATTCATAGTGGCCACCGCATGATATAAGATTCTCATTGTGCTTTCCAGGACGATTGAGTCGCAAGGCAGCAAACATGGCTCACATCGAGAGCTCGCGGTACCAGGCTATGGTGCAGATCTGGGAAAGCGCCAGCACGGTTATTTCGAGACCCTCATACAGGCAGAATCTCGCTTCTCGTCTACGAGAGGTGGAATTGTCACCCTGCAAAGAGGTTACAACACAGGTCAGCGTTGGTCTCTGGTACCGATTTATTCTTAATGGAAACTGGGTGGAAATGTGGACCTCCATTTCAGCTGCTGAGAACCTTCTGGGAATGAGCCCGCCTTGAAAGCGCAGATGCAATCTCCTTTACCAATGTATCACCAATCAGTCAATAGCAAGTTAGCACGAAGACAACGTAGGTGATTCTTGCCTTTCACACCGGCTCGATACGTCATTGCCGAAAAGCATGTGCTCTCCATTTCAATATTCCTTACACCTTTTTCGTGAATCTGCTTAAGGAACTCCATTTTGTCCTCTGGTTTAAATTCGCAGAAAAATCCGTCCAATCGCATTTGACCTGAAACCTATTCAGTTTAGTATTCGAAGTAAACTTTACAACTCTATTAAGAAGCTGATATGTGCTGGCTGTATCGAAAAGAGATGCTTCCACGTGAAATCAAAAAATTTGTCAAAACTTTAGAGTCTATTTCTTTATACTTGATACTTGAATGGCCCGTCTTCACTGATTGTGTGGGCCCTAGCATAATCTCCATTTTTCGGAGGTTTGCTGATTAAGCCATTGTGCCTCTCTGGAATCTCGAGGTCAGTCTGGGCAAAGTCTGCCCCGGATCTTCACCATTACAGCCAGCTGCAGCCCTTGTGGATTAGAGAGAGATTTACCACCATAAGACTTTAATACTAGGACGGTAGTATTGGTTTACAGCTAGGCTCCCTGATAGAAACGCCGGACTCCTTCCCAGCTTGGAAGACCCTGCCAAGCGGTGAATCCCCCGCTGTACATCGCAGTCCAACACCCAGGAAAACTTCGCAGCCACGATGAGACGGTAAACTGTTGGGAGGATATCTTTATGTTCTGCACTAACTATAACCTTTAAGGCGTGTGCAGCGCAATGATTTTTAGCACCCTACAATAAATAGGTAGTGGGTTCAATCACATGTATTTGTCAAAGAAGAATTCCATCCCTCCAGGATTGCAAAACTAGTACGGGGACCTACCAATCTGCCATATTAGTATTTTCAAAGCCGACAGTCATTTAACCTCGGCATTACTAATGAATACGTTCTGAGATTATTAATTGAACATGAGGTTGACAAACAGTTCTATTTGGTAAACGACTAGACGCCTTCAACTTCATGAAAGCCTATGAACTGAGTCAGTGTTTCACAACCCTTTGTTCTCAATGTGACGTCTTCGTCTTTGTATCGAGTCGAATCTTCTTTAGTAGAGAACTACTCTATAGACATCTTTATAATCCTTCGTGTTAACTTAATAATCCAAGAAATTATTGATTACGAATGTCGGGGTTAAATGATGGTCGGTTTGAAAAATACTGCTTTGCTGTTCTTTATGTGCTAGCTAATACAATATCGATTACTGCAGGATGGATTATCCGTTCAAAAACAAATTACTATCAACAACAACTATCCTGTATAAAAGAGCGATGTCTGGTGAGTATGTTTCATCCGAGAGATGTCTGAGGAAGACGAAGACGTCGAAGAGTCAGCCGAATGAACTTTCTTATTAATTATTATAGTGCTGAGATATTTGCAAAACTCCGAACCGAAGGTGTCTGAGCTAGGGAACGAACGCGCTATTGTTCATTCCGGGGAGTAACGCGTTCACCACCACATCATGCGGGTCCTTCGTTTAACAGGCGAAACGAAGGACTAAGATTGTGATTATAACCATAACCTCAGGGTTCAATACCGATTCGGGCTCCCCAGACAAATCCCGTTGACGGTGATTGCTGATGGGAAAAGATCGATAGAACTAGCTGAGAGACAGGTGAAACGAAAGACCCCGTGATGTAGTGGTGAACGCTTTACTCCCCGGAAAGGACAATAGTGTGTTCGTTCCCCACCGCAGACACCTGCGGTCCGGAGTTTTGCAAATATCTCAGCATTATAATAGTTACATTTTCCAAAATACACCGCCGTTATAAAGAATAGGCAGCAAATAAAAAGGTTAAGAATGTGATTACTTTCTTATCAACCTCGTGTTAGCTTAACATTTCAAGAAGGCATTACATTAGCTTCTCTCCCAGACAAATCTGGTGCTGATTCACTTATTCTAGAGTGATGGAGAGTTTGACTAGCCGACGAGCAAAGTCAGTGAAACAACTGTGTGAGTGGCACTGTATCTCTAACCACTGCGCGAGACGTGTGGTAAGGATTATACAGGTGGTCAGGGTGATGAAGATGTACAGGGCCACGGAAATAAGGGTTCCTAGACCGTGTTTCATTTATTATTGCTATTGTTTATTATCATAGTTATATTATGACTTTTATTGTTTATGTTTCATCACTGTTATTGTTACTATTGTTTTTATTCACATTCTCTTTCACAAACCTTCGTAGAAGTCGTCAGCACACATTGTCAAACCGACCTCTACAGGAAGTTTCTTCTCTTTAGCAACTGCAACGAGTTCATTTCGCAGTTCTTCGTCCAGAAACGTCTCATGCTCGATCTAAAGAAAGTTTTCCATGTACTTTTTAGAGTTTTTAAAGGTATTTTGTAACTACAAAAATCAGGGGAATACACCCGTAACAAATAATAATATCTGTGAAACAACGGCTTCAAGAGATCAAAAAGTCATAAACTCCCTTCATCACTGCAGTGATAACAAGAACGTTGATGAAAAAAGAATCCATGTGGAATAATAGAAAGGATGAAGCTCTCGACGTTGATCAATCCTTGAGGGATGCACCATGTATTCGACTTCATTAAGCATCGTTTCGAGGTGGTTGGATGCATATCTGATCTTTACGATGACTCGCGGTGGTCTACCGATGTATCGAGCCCGTGCTGCTATCCTCCCAGACAGGTGTGATACCACTTTGCCGACTCCGGAGGGATGAAAGGCTTGGTGGACTGTGGACGCGAAAATCGATCCCACGTGTGTGTTGCAATGCGCCTCCGACCACTGCGCCATACGCGCCCTTCATGTGTGAAATGTGTGAAATACTAAGCGAAATCTGGCAAGAAAAGATTTTAGTTTTATCTCTTTAAACAACACAGTTGTTGGGGTTTAAGTAAGTTCATCAGTTTATAAACGTGTACCTAATCACAAGGGAGCTTTTAAAACCGAAAATACTTTGAAATAAATCACTAATAGAAGGCTATAGAACAGCAAAGTTGATAGAAATTTAAGACTAGTTTAATCTATAAATTTGCAAAAAAACCTTGTTGGTTGCCCTCTGGAGATTTTCTTAGAATGCAAGATTCGGTACAGTTCAACGTAACTACCATGATAACAAAGCTCTACATTGCTTTAGCCCTTGGTCAGCTTGGATGTAGGCTCAATCATGCTTTAAAGTTCGACGTTTTGTTGCCAGCCAAGCAAGGCTTCACAACAGCTTACAAATGCCTGAGATGATGATATTCAGGCGCTGTGGGATAACCGTCGCAAAATGCAGAAAGGAAAACTTGCCGAACTGCTTTTGTAGAAGACAGTTGCAAGAGAAAGGTGGAAGAAGTGCTGATAAGCTGATTAGCTTGACGCTCTGATTGTAATAGCGCGCTGAGTCATATTGAAGCAGAGATCGCAAATTAACAGAGACAAAACAGGACTGTGCTTTGTTAGGATCACTTGTAATTGTTAATAGGAAGGAATATTTTCAAGATGCTCATCTTTTTTCCAGCAAGCCACAAAACGTATTTATCCTTCAACTCAGCGTTCATCGCATTCGTGCTGACGACAACTGTGCCCGGCTCGACACCAACACCTCCAGATGTGCCAATACGGATAAACCTGAAATGGCGTTATGTTAGAGATAGCATACTACACTATACGACCCGTTAGTAATAGTTGGAAACACGCCCATTGAAAATGACAGAATTAGTGTCACTTCCAAACCGCGTTACCTTGAGCAAAAGTGCCTGCAGAAATAGTTCAGCTTCCCTGTAGTGTTACTAAGCCGATGAGTTGAAAGTTCAGATTTGGAATCATAGATATCAATATGTTAGCATTAGGAATTAACGCTATGGAAAACTGGTACAGCGCAGTTAATCTCGCTTCGATCCAGAAGAACACCATATGCTAACTTTTCATAAGCAAGCTATTTCAGAATTAAATTTCTGTCTAATGTACCATCTTATCCTCGATTATCAATGACAGACATCACATGCCGCAATTGTATATTTTATTCTCCAATTTTTAGAAACCATTCGCATTCAAAATTTCCAATGTTTATCATGGCATGAAACTTTCAAACATCCTAGTTGTGCTCTGAATTTCTATCATATGACTCATTTTACGAACTCTACAGACGGCGTTGTGTGGGACATGTAACACAGGGCTGGTTAGAGGTGCACTACAGTACACAATGGATAGATCGCTGGTTTAACTCGAAGCATTTGCTTTTCACTCCCCTCATTGGTCCCGTGTCGGCAAATTGGACCAATGGTAATGTGCCGAATATGGTCACCTTTAAGATTTTGCAAGTGTGAAGGAATTCACAGCGCATCATTCAAAGATTAATTAACGCTGAAAGCTTTAGCATTTTTTTTCGGATTAAAATGCCTAGAATTAGAGTATTCACAGTAGAGCAGCTCATTCACATGTCTCAGAGCAGAGCTTGGTCGAAGTAGTCTTGCCCAGTCATTTTCTTGCACCTGCCTCTGAGCATACGGCTTATTGAAAGCATTAATAGCCAGAGCTTAGCAGATCGAGATCGTCCTAAGTGTTATTCACCTGGCCACTGCACGCTTAAAAAATACCTACAAAGGAACAAACCGACCACAAAACAGGTCATAAGAAAGCCAAAAAATAATCATGGGACCTTTGCATGCTGCCGGACAATTGGAGCGTTCCAATTCCTTTTACTGACTTGGTGATATCGATCCTTTCTCGGTCTACCGGCCATTCACATAATTCACTGCCTTCTGGAAGAATCCTTGTCGGATTGAAACAGACGTAGTTCAATTATCTAGCACGGCTACATCCTCCATGGATGACACTTATAAATACAGAGAAACGAATGGAACAGATTTTCGAGCACTCTAACGATAAGTGTAGAGGGAGCGTCTAAGTTGTCCAAATAAGTCTTAACTTTTTTTGCCAGGAATAGTTACGGTACTACGTAACTTTACGCCACATCATGGTAATTGCTGCTGGTGACAGAAGTAGAGAGAAAGTAATTAAGAAACGTTAACACACTATTAACACATTAGACACTTTTGAGATGGTCAACTGAGGAATATCCGGTCTGATGCGAGACGACGACGCCACATCGAGAAGAAGAACAACTGCGGACCATCGACAAGGTGGATCGTCGGCTCGCAGAAACATGAAGACGTCGAAACGTTAGTAGAATAAATACCTCATATCAACCTCGGATAAGCTCAACATTATAAACAAACATTGGACACTATCGAAGATCAGAAAACTTACTTGACATCTTGTGCCTTCGCATGGTACATCAATTTCAATGTTTCCACCAGCATGATGCTCAACGATGGTGTTCCCATCCCATGCTGAATAATTGCAAGAAATTGAAAAAATAGAGAAACATGAAATACAGGGCCAACAAACGCTGTTGAGGAAGGAATAAGTAAACTGACGTTGATCCAAACTACTTTTCCTGTTTTGTATATAACAAAACGATCACTTTTCGAGAGGTTTTCACTGCACTCCAGCTTGCACTCTTTAGAAAACCATTCAGCATAGAGTTTGAATCTTGTAGGTGAGCCACCAGTGCAGACAAACTAAAATAATTTACAACGTATGACTTTCTCTGCATTGCCTATTATTCTTTCATGTGGGGGGGGGGGTAAAAGCTAAAAAGCTCTCAGCGCTGATCAATCCCTGAGGGAGGCGCCAAGCATTCGAGAAGGTTATTGAATGCATATCTAGCCTTTACAGTGACTCGCGGTGGCCTAATGATGTATCCAGCCAGTGTTGCTATCCTCTCAGACAAGTGTGGTACCAATTCGGCGACCCCAGAGGGATAGAGGGCTTGGTGGGACATGGGCGTGAGGATTGATTCCACGTGTGTGTCGCAGTGGCGCCTCCGACCACTGCGACACACGCGCTCCTTTCATAGCAGGGTATTCTGTGAAATGAAACACAATGATGGTGAGGTACAACCACTATGATGCTGAGATGTCGGCAAAACTTGGGCCCGTACTAGATCGATTCGCGACTACCCTTTCCAGAGACTCATATTTTAGCCACTGTACCACTGAGGCCATCGCGTTGCCTTTCTGTCGGCCAGCTTTCTCTTATCTCAGCACCTTATGGGTGAAATAATTTAGTGACCACTTATGATTTAACTCTTGAGCAGAAACTCTTTGCAGTCCTTGTTCTGTTTAGATAAATTCAAAAAAGCAACGACAGATTTCATACGAAACTTCTTCAGCTAAGTATGACCGCCCGTCACAAAAATCACATAGAACTGCTGCAAAGTCTACGAATATTATATAACTACAGTGATACTGAGTTTTTTGCAAAACTCCGGACCGCTAGTGTCTGCGCTGAACATCCAACCCACTATTACCTTTCCCGAGAGTAATCCGTTCACCGCTATTCTCTCAGCCCTTTGTCTATGAATATTATCTTAGAACACTGGGAGTTCGCTCAGCCTGTTGGCAAAAAAAGAGGCCAGTTTTACGGTGTTCGTTAAACCTGTGATCGATAGTCTATAAAATAAATAAAATAGTATACAATAATGTATAAAACAGAGAAACTTATGAATTCGTGAAATGTAGCGATTTGGTATTTTACAATGGTTCCATCGAATAAACGCACTCTGTACGATTTAATGCTAAATACAGGACAAGCGTCTACGGAAAATTCGTCCACAATGCTTGACTAATTCTAGTCTCACATTAAAAGCGCTTCTGTTTTGCCATATTCCTGTAGTAAAGTACTGTTTCCTATTGTTTCACTATCCATTAGTTATTCCACTTAACATTGCACAGGAGCGTGTGTAGCGCAATGGTCGGAGGCGCGCTGCAATACACATGGAATCGATACCCGCGCCCCAGGCTCACCAAGCTCTCCATTCTTCCGGGGTCTCGTCTGCAAGGAAAGCAACAGTGGCTCGATACATCGGTAGGCCACCACGGGTCATTGTAAATGTCAGATATGCTCCGTATTCTTGTTGAGCAAGCGCGAGGTGTTATTTTATTCTTTATTCACGAACACGTAATGCGTATGAATGACAACCGATGGACAGGAGCCGTTAGTGACTGGATTTCTCCGGATTTCAAACGTACTGCAGGAAGACCACCAAGCCGATGGTCAGAGTTGTTCACGAAGAGCCTAGCAGAAAGGTGTGATGCTCAACGAGGCCCAAGAGCGAGTAGAACCCACCGGGCTACTCTTGCGCTCCACAGGGAAAAATGGAAGATTTACAGCGCCCGCTCGAGTCACTCAACGTTCAGTGGGACTACAGGTGATACAGGTGATGCTTTTATATGCCTTTCAGCTAAACAAATTCGGGTCTAAAATAAATCTAAACAGCATGCTAGATCTTTCCAGGTGTCCTATTTCAAGTGAAAATGGCTAATGCAGCAAGCTCATGAGCAGTAATGGTATGTTCCGCATTAATCTGCTTATCGGTCTTACCTGCAGTAATCGGTTGTGGACAAATGCCACCAAGACAGGGTAACGAGAAAAAAACAATTAAACTAAAAACAAAAGCGTTTATTACTGGAAACAACTCTATCACTTAACCTTCTAATGTTCATGGAGCCGTGGAGGCCAAAAAGAGAAACTAAACGTTGAGTCTGAACTTAAAGCAATAATTTGAACACTTAAAGCTGAAAGTGTAGCCTAAAATATTTTAAATTATTGCCTGACTCGTTTTGAAACAGGTGAAATTTTTCACATGAAGGACTGTCAACTTTGAACGTTACCGGTCTTACAATTCCTCCCGCAGTGCACTTCAGCGACCAACGAAGGGTAACAGCGGTGGTCTCCGGTATTTCAAGAAGTGCTGGTGCAACTACAGAACACGTAAGAAGGCTAATAATGGACGCGGTTTGTGTCACTCTTTCAGGTACGCTATGGTTGACAGGATGGTACATCTGGCAGTTTATGACGTACTTTAAAAATAACCACTAATCCACTAAGAATCTTTGTAGGTGTTCAACGTACTCGAAGAACAGGGTCGTGGCGCTGGCCTCTCAGATGTTTTGATATCGCTGATTTTGAACCAACTCAATGTTCAGATTAACTACACCCGCTTCAATACAATTTCGCTTTCACTGATCCGACAGCAGCTGGAAACAGGTCTAAGTTTTTAACTCTTAGCAAATCTATCTGGCTTAAATGTATGAGATTCTCAGGCTCGCAAAATTTGCTTGTTAAACTACTTAACACCTTTGTATACTTTTTCAACTAGTGTTGACTGTCTTCCGTTTGAATACCACCAAAAAGAATTCTTCAGCTGCCACATAACATCTCGAGATAAAAAGTATATAAATATTAATTTGAACGTGTCAGTCATCGTTTTTCACCAGAACTGCTTTTCAGGTCGCCAATGTTGCCTTTATTGGACTGAGAATAAAAGCTAAAAGAGATAAAGTTCTCTGCTCCTAAGGCATACGCCATGCATTCGACTTCATTAAGCATCGTTTGGAGGTAAGTCAATGCATATCTGGCCTTTACAAAGACTCGCCGTGGCCTATCGATGTATCGAGCCAGTGCTGCTATCCTCCCAGACAAGTGTTGCACCAGTTTGCAGACTCCATAGGGTTGGAAGGCTTGGTGGACCATGGGCGCAGGGATCAACTCCACGTGTGTGTAGCAGGGTGCCTCCAGCCACTGCTCCACACACGCCCTTGTACTGAGAATAATACGAAATCAACCACAGCGATGCTGAGATCCTTGCAAAACTCTAGACCGAAGGTGCATGCGGTGGCGGGCAAACGCGCTATTACCCTTTCTATGAGCTAACACGATCACCGATCCCATGCGGGTCCTTCGTTTCGCTTGTCCCTCGACTAGTTCTATCGATCAAGAGCCATCAGCAATCACCCGTCAACGGGATTGATCTGGGGAACCCAAAATGAGTGATTGCTGATGGCGCTTAATCGATAAAACTAGTTGAGAGACAGTGAAAACGAAAGACGCGAACGATGTGGTGGTGAACGAGTTAGTCTCCGGAAAGGGCAATAGAGCGTTTGTTCCCCACCGTAGGCACCTGTGGTCCTGAGTTTTGCAGAGATCTCAGCATCGTTGTGATTGATTTCGCATGATACCCTACCGTGAAAATGCTGCTAAGGAGTAAATAAAAAAGTGAACATAATAATATGATATACATTTCTACACGATGTAAAAAATAACAATTCGATATCGAATATTTCCTGCAAAATTGCAAACATTTTCAATTTATAACACTCCCTTACTATCTTGGACAGCCTGCGAAGTTCTTAGTAACAACTGCACCGTGCTGACGCTCCACAACTAGATGGAAAACGTTCTCTGAAGTCTTTTCGTGTTAGCATCTGTGCTATTATAAAACTTAGTTGACTTCGGATGCAGCTTTTTTTTAACAATGATAACGCAGTTAACTATTGCAAGCGGCTGTAAAATGGGAGCACTCGACATAAGATAAAAAAAAGGGTGGTATTCGAGATAAATAAATTCCTTAGGAGCGATCCATGTGTGTTTTTTCCACTAACGTTGTAAAATGGGGTTGACTGCATATTTGGCCTATGCAATAACTTGAGCCAGTGTAGCGATGAATAAAATCGTTGTTTTTAGCCTCTTAGACAAATCAGGCACCAATTTTGCTAATCCGGAAAAATTAAGAGTTCAGTTTACCCGCAACTCGGAACTGAACGACGGACTACACATTTGATGTAAGTCACCTCTAAGTATTGCGCGAACCCTTCCAGTGCTAAACAAGTGACCGAAAAGTAGTAAAAGTGTGGGGGAAAAGGCATCGTGCAATGCAGGATTTGTTTACACACCTGCTTCACATTCTATTAATCATCAAATGGTTCCAAAATGGATCGATTTTCGGTCCACTTGCAAAAAAAAGGATAGAGAAGGCAAGCTTAAAATTTTACGTAAAATTTTACAATGGTAAGTGGCGAAAAGAGAGAGAAGTAAGAAATTAAAAAAACGATTTAATGACGTTAGAATGGCTACCTAAACGACCACGCTTCTGAGAGCGCTGTGTGCGGCTCTAGGGGTGATATTTACCACCTATCGACTAAGTTTCTCTTAGAACAGCGCAGTTCCGGCTATAGGTTTACTCCTAGCTAGGATTGCGAAAAGGATGTGCTCCATTTCAAAGACCTTGCTATGAACTACTATCAGTATGGCACTCACGAACACCTCATTTGGATGAAGGAGTGAGCCATACTAGCGATATCTTTCATGAACCAGCGCTCCTAGTTTCTGGATCTTAATTATGAATATCTAATGTTATCTTACTCCAAATGCATAGCACATTTGAATTGAAGAAGCCTTCCACTAATTTATCTCTGATGTCTTTGTCCGCCACTATTGTATTTCTATCTTTTAGTAAGAAAATTGGGGCGTGTGGAGCAATGGTCGGAGGCGCCCTGCAGCACACAAATGGAATCTATCCCCGTGCCCATGGCCCACCCTGCCTTCCATCCCTCCGAGGTCGGTAAATTGGTACCGGACTTGTCTGAGAGGATAGCAGCACTAGCCCGATACATCGGTAGGCCACCGCGAGTCATTGTAAAGGCCAGATATGCATTCAATCACCTCCAAACGATGCTTAGTGGAGTCGAATGCATGGCGCATCCCTCAGGGATTGATTAGCGTCAAGAATTCTATACTTTTCTATCTTGTCAGTGAAAAGATCCTTTAAAAAAATGGGTATAGTGTAAAAGAGAGAACCGAAATAAATTAAGTAATACCTTCCAGAATTTTCTGGTTCTCTATTATCCTGCCGTTGACAGAAAGGAATTTCTCGAATATTTTTGCACTCCTATATCTATGCGCTGAAAACCCCGATGTTATCAGAGTTTTCTAATCTACTCACATAGTAGCTGAAATATATGCAACATGAAGTTCTAACATTTCTTAGAATAATGACACACCGCCTCTGCCACCGACAGAAACCGTGCGCGGCATCTAGCCCGGTGCCCGTTTTTATCTGCGTAGTTCCGCACTCTACTACTTCATCACGCTTACTCATGATTTGGTTCATTTATCGAACTCACCTGTCTATAGTTCGTTTTGAATTTTTTTGTTTCTGATGAATGGACTTGATTGAGATCGATTACAACTCTCTAAATGGTGGAATTATCTCACTAAGAATTATTTAACATTAATGTTTAAATCACAGAAAGAAATTTCCCAATGGTAGTGTAAGCTGTATATTCACAAAAGAAACAATTTCCAATCCCATCGACC